ATCCCTGAGCAGAGAATCCACCCATGTTGTGCCTGGACTTCTCACCTACACAGCTGTGAGCCAAGAAGTAGGTTCTGTTTTAAGTCACTTAAGTTTCTTGTAGTTTGCCCTACACTAATAGAAAATGAACCCAGTGCTGATTAAACTCCTTTTACAGATGTGAAAACTAAGGCTTAGAGGAAGTAAGGAATTTGGTCAAGGCCATGAACATCGGGCAAGTGGTGGACCTGAGAAACAAAATGAGGTGTGTCTGATTTCAAGACTTGGGACTAAGCTCCATTGGCCCATGACTCCCTGTAGAAAGCCATGAAGAGTCAGAACCATGGGAGACTCTTCATTCATGCATGCATTTATTTATTATTTATTTGGGACCAGAAAATAATGAGCATTATTATTAAACATGAAATTCTGATCTAGAGGAAAATCAAATGTTGAGTGTGGATTTGAACTTTGAAGTGCCACTTCAGTGGTTAGCTTGATATTTATTTCAGAGGACAATGCTATAGAGTAACAGAAATTACATATGGGACTCTACTCATTAAATGTTTGAGTTTGGCTAGAGTGTCCATTTCTGCTTTTCTCCTCCAGCCTGACCAGATGTGCTTAGAAAATTCAGTTCTCCCTGAATATGTACATCTGTCAAAACTCCTGTCAATTTCAGCACGAGTGCCAAGGGAGTGAACAAAGAGAGTTAGCGATTAACTTCAAAGAACTTTGTTGGAGAGGAATAAAGATATTTAAGGCCTATTTTGTGAACTAATTGCATTTGCATATTTATGGGATTTACTGATATAGCAGTAATTAAAAACTATTTAGTAGTCTTAAAGGACACATAACTCAGTTGCTGTTTGCATAATAAACACTTCCTTATTATGTTTGCATAATAAACCCTCTCCCCCTGCTTCTTCCAGAAGACATTGGTGCATCTAAGTGATGCCATATCTTACTTGAAAATAATGAAGAAACATAGTACACAAGCTCACAGAACTGTGGAAAGAAGCTTCTGAGAGAACTACACTTCTAGGTACTCTTAGCTATAGGCTTGGCCTGAGCTGCTGTTAGAGAATGCAGATTCAACCCTCAGATGAAGTCTCTGTTTATTTCGCCCAAGTGATATTCCTTAAAGGGCCTGAAAGCATAGTCCCTCATGACTCCAAGTTTTTGTCTAAATATACTCATCTGCTTGTAAGGCCTGAATGAGATTCACCCCAATATTCATCCTTCCTAAAAAGATGTGCAAGGGAATGATCAGACACAATGTGAATAAAAAACTTTCTCTGGATGAAAAGTGCTGCATTTAAGGAGAGGGAGAAGAGACAGCTTTCATGAAAAATTAAAGGTTTTGATGAGGGACAATACCAAATCAAAACGTGTTGAATAAACAAACTAAATCCAGACAGGACAATAAGGTTAGGAAAAGAGAGCTGAGCCAGGAGATGGTACAGAGCAGGGCCATTAAGAGAAGACCAGGAAGCATCTGAAGACAAGTCACACAAAACCTTTTCCATCAGGGCAGGATTAATCATCCATGAGCTGTAATGGGCAGGATCACCAGACTGTTGTTAAATTAGCTAATGAAGGTTGTAATGTACCTATATTACACATCATTAGCAATGGCCTTCCAGTAGCAGATGGGCATATGAGAAAGTATGAAGAAAAGGGAGGGGAAGCATGTCCCGGAAGGTTTGACTTAGAGTCATAGCTTACAAAAATTCGTGTCAAGAATACGATGTTGATCATCGTTTCAATTAAACTTTTGTATAAAGAGAAGCTTCTGCATTCCTTTTCCATAAAAGCACTGCCTACATGGCTATGATGTCTGGGTTTTCCTTTCTCTTGTCTTGATTCATCTCATAGATAGATGCTGACAATTTGGAGAACTGATACCAGTGCTGGGACGTTGGGGACCAGATCAATCCTTTGTGAGCTTATCTCTTGATGAAGGCCCACTTATCTGCCCACTATCTCTAAAGGAAATTTCTCAAATAAATTTCTCATAACTTTGTGTTGAAGTTCCTCTACCAGGTTACATTTAAATTTCTTTTTTTTTTTTTCATCTGAAATATTTTCAAATGTACAGCAAAATGGAAAGGACAGTAGAAAGAACTCCTGCCTCCTGTTCCTCCTCATACAACCATTTGAGAGTATGGCCCACGTGACAACATCATCACACTTGAATACAGAGTATTGTTTTTCCAAAGAAGGACATTCTTTCACATAATCTCAACACAATCAAAATCAGGAAGTCAACATTGCCACATTATACTATCTAATTCATATGCCCCATTCAAGCTTCATCATTTCCTCCCATAGTGTTCCTTGTAACAACAAGATCCAATCCAGAATCACATGTTGCCCATAGTTGTTTTTTAGTCAGATTTTTCATTACTGAGACTAAAGGACCCAACCAGCACAACTATAGAGGAGGGAAATTTATTTTGGGGCTCATGGTTTCAGGGGTCTAAATCCACAGAAAGCGGGCTCCATTCCTCAGGGCTCAAGGTGAGGATGAACATCATGGTGGAAGAGTGGGGCAGAGGGAAGCAGCTCCCATCATGGTGATTGGGAAACAGAAAAGACACACTCTCCAGATACAAAATTTGTATGCCCCCATTGTACCACTTCTTCCAGCCACATCCCACCTGCCTCCAGTTACCACTCAGTTCATTCCATCAGGGATCAATGAACAGATTAGGTTAAAGCTATAACCCAATCATTTCCCCTCCAAACCTTGTGTTGTCTCACATGTGAGCTTTTGGGGGACATCTCATATCCAAACCATAATAATTGTCATGACTCTTTGGTCTCCCTTTGTTTGATACAATTCTTCGGTCTTTTCTTAAATTTCATAACCTTAATTTTTTGAATATTTCATGCCTGATTTTTTTTTTTTTTTAGAATGCCCCATAGTATTTGGTTGACTCGTGTTTTCTCCTGAGTAGATTCAAGTTAAGAATTTTGGGCAAGATTGCAACAGAAGAGCTCCTGTGTCGACTCAATTCATTCTGTCTCATGCCACACATGATCAACCGTTAATTTTCATCATTTGATTAAGGTGTTGTCTGCTAGCTTTCTCCACTGAAGGGTGTTGTTTTTTAATCTTTGTAATTAATAAGTGTACAAATGTGCCATTCCTCATCAAACTTTATACTATCTAATTCATATGCCCCATTCAAGCTTCATCATTTCCTCCCATAGTGTTCCTTGTAACAACAAGATCCAATCCAGAATCACATGTTGCCCATAGTTGTTTTTTAGTCAGTTTTAGCATCCATGGAAGTTTGTTGGGTGAACTAATTGTTATTATGAAGATTCCATTATGCCTTCTACATTTATTAGTCGGCATTTTCATCTAATGGAGTTCTTTCTCTTCTTCCTATTCACTTGCTTATTTAAATCAGTATGGATTTGTGGATTTAGTTTTATCTAGTGGGTTACAATTTGTTATTATCATTATTAATTTTTATGCTCAAATTGTACCAGATTTGGCCACTGGGAGTCCCTGTCATTTTATTATGTCCCCATCATTTTTTTTTTTTTTTTTTTTTGGCCCTGTCATTCTTTTAGTACCTTTTTGCTTTCTAGTACATAAGATGTTCTGGGTTCCCTTATACTCTCCCTGCATCAGTTTGGGCAGCAGTAATTTCTCCATTTTTTTTTCTTGTGAGTATGGTATTTAGAAACTAAGATCTGGGTACCAAGTGTGCTCATTACTCTTGGGGTCTCACTGCTCCCAGGGCCTCTAGTGTACAGAGCTAGGGAATATATATGTATGTATGAAAATGTGTACATACATTTATATTTGTATTTATTTCTGTGTTTAGCCAAATATAATACACTGAAAATCATCAGTTCACACTGACACTTCCAAAACCAACTCAACCCCATAATCCTCTCCTTTATTCCCTTTCATATTTGTAACTTCCTCTATCAACAATAGGAAGCCAATCAGGCTATATTTTATTGGTAGATAAAATTAGGAGGATAACTTCATGGATTCTAAACAAAGGGACTGAGTAATTAGGAGAACAGGAGCCCAATATATTCTGCCTCACCCCTCACTTTGCTCTATAATAATTTAACTCAAATCTGTGCTTCTATAATGCCACTTAAAATACAAAACTGGCAGATGTTGGAAATGGTATGAAATTTGTTTTTTTGTTTCTATAGCATTAAGTAAGTCTAATGGAAGACAGAGCTATTATATAGAATTATGCATTCTTTTCCTTAAAATGAAGAGTCAATGAGTATTCTATTAAAAAAAAACCCCTTTTTATTGAATGATGCTAAATCTTAATAGTTCTCATTTTCAATAGGCCTAGAAGCATTCTCTTCTAGGTTGTTTCTCTCTGAATTGTGGTCAGTGAAAATATAAAAAGCACTCCTATTTATCAAAAATCAATGTTTCTTTTAATTAAAGGGGCTTGGGAAAACAAAAAGCACTTTTACCATTGTATTGTTTGCAGTTGTTCTTCATTAGACAATACCAGGTTTCCATTAGCTTTGTGTAATTCAGGAGTCTAATAACCACTGTCAAATGCTGAAGATGTTACTGCATAAGTCTGATTTAGGACAGCTATTTGGATCTCAATTATTAATGAAATTAGTGTCCTGGATGTCAGCAAGAGCATTGCCTTAGGTTGAGGCTGCAAAGGAAATCATATTAGTGTGGAATTTCCTCTCCTTAGGGGCTCCTCCTATATTACATTATTCACTTAGCTATCTCTCGTCAGGGAGATGGAATTGTTGGCCATCATTTGATTTTGGGGCAGAACCAAATGGAGAAGTTGCAAGATTTCTGGTGTCATCAATTCCAAAATCTTAGTGTGGTGCTGATATCGCCTTCGTCCAATTGAATGTTTATAAAATAGCATCAGGAAGGATAGTACACACTGGCAAACAGAGAAGAACAGAGACCTCTGTCACGAAAAATCGAGGAGTATTTTATCCAGTAGTCAAGTTTCTTTAACCTTTTGGGGATTTGCCCAAGAACATTGGCAAGTGTGATGGCTCTTCTGTGGCCCTGCATCCTGGTGGCTGCCACAGGTGAGTCCTATTAATGATTTTACTGGGCACTGAGTATTAATGATTAGAAGCTAAAGATAAGGGATACAGTGTGCTGTAAACGTCTTACAATTTTTTGTTTTAATTCATTCACCATAAAATGTCAGTCCTGTGAAGCTACAGGGAGACCAATGATTTGTTTCTAACTTTGTTCCTACAATCATACACATGTGTATAGTGTCACATGATAGGACTTTTTACACATAGATGAAAGTATGCTCCAAAATGTTATGAGTGTTTGATAAATCTCTCCTTTTCTAGAAATCAAGCTCTCTGCAGCAATTTATACTGTTTGTGGCATTCTTTTTCAGATTCACCTTTATGTATAATAATATATTTTTATTATCCAAAATGTTCTTATGTTCATTATAAGCTTTTAGTTCCACGGATTTGTCATGGCTACAGATGCTTGTGTATCATTTCAGTATTATAGTATGTAAGTAAACATCTAGTCTTATAAAATGTACATAGAGATGAGTTTATTTCTAAAGATTGTACTAAAACTTGCAAGTTCTGAGTATACAATTCCTTTGAAAAAGCACTTTACAAACTAGTATATCTTTTCTAAATTTCTCAAATTATACTTCCCTGTATACTCTACTGTATTGAATTATTTAAGTTACAATACAATAGAGTCTTTGTATATGCACACAAACCCAAGAATTTATGTTTATGCTGGTGTTTCCCAGCATCCCACTTTCTTGAGGGTTTTTCTAGAGCCTGTATCCAAATTTTCAAGTTTTAACAAATAACTGAAAGTGAAATGAGTCAATTACAGAGGTGAGTAAGGAATTTGGTATTCATGAAGCTGGAAATTTTTTTAAAAATCTGGAAATAATTTTTCTGTTAGATAGAGAAGAAAAATAATCTCTTATGAAAGTATGAAAAGCCTGGATGTTTAACTTAAAGGTTAAAAGCATATCTTAATTAAAAAAATTTTACTGGATGCCAAATGGATTTCTTAGCAAAAATAACTGTCACAATTAAGAAAGAAAAATAGAAAATAAAGAAATAAGAAGAAATTCTTCTTGATACCTCTTTCTAATCTATCTCTTTGTTTTTATGCTTAATTTTTGTTCTAAATATAGCAGAAAGGTGTTTTAACAATGTCTAAAAACCAGTGTTTTACCATAAATTACATTGAAGATATTTGTGGCAAAGGGATCTGCATTTGGGATTTTAACTGTTAATTATCAAGACAGTAAATATCCGAATGCTGACCTGATCACCACTGCCTGGTTGCTCTCTGCATGTGGAGGGTGTGCAGGGCAGGAGGAGGACTGGATGAGGAGAGGGATTTAGCTCCAACTTCCCTACTCACTCACCATATAATCTGGGCAAATCTCTTACACATTCTGTTTCCATGATTAACTTTAATTTTTGATATTCATGAAGATAAATAAAATGTGAAATTATGAAGTGCAAAACAATTATAAGATATTATTTACCTGAAAATACTACGCAGAAAATAATACTGGCTGTATACTGTTATGCTGAAAGAGTTTGGGCTTTGGATCCAGACCAGCCTTGTTTAAATTCCAGCCCCCTCGTTTGTGAGAGCTATCTGACCTTGGACAGTACCAACCTCAAGCCTGTAGTTTCTCACTTAGAGTAATTGTGCACTCCTACAGACTGTGGAATTCCTAGGTCAAGATTATTGGGGATGTTAAATGAGAACATTCATGAGATTTAGCCTACTGCCTGGCATACAGTAAGTATTCAGTTAGTACTTGGAAGATGCTGGAACCATACACCTGAAACTCTTATTTCCTTGTAAACTTTCAGTTGTGTATATTACTCTCAGTATTCTAAAGAATATACTAAGTCAAGAATAGCTCTTTCCCTTAAAGTACCCCAGACATTTTAACATGAGTGTATGTGAGGGAGTAACTCATTAAAACAAACAAACAAAAAAACCCACAAAGGAATAATTCTATTGTATTCTTATCTTCTTTTTAAATCTCTTACTACAAGTGCTTCACAGCTCAATCCCCAACACATTATACTTTCTATAAATCATACAAGTGAAATATTTAAAGTGATTATTAGCATTCAGTGTTAGCGAGGAATCTTTCCTGGGTCTGTTGATAGCTTCCATCAGTGTCTGTTGAAACATCACTGAACTGTGAGTCATTTAGTGCTTGTGTGAATGTCACATTAGCTTTCAAGGGGCATCATTTACTGTTAATTAATGGTCACTTAAATCCTTAATCTTTCTCCTGTAATTGATCTTTCTCCTCAGGCACATTTGCATTCATAGTAGAAATGTAATTTATTATTTCTTCCCATCTTAAACAAAGAACTCTTTCCCTTTTGGTTTATTTAAGCACACTTCCATGCTTATTGTTTTTCTCATTTCATTACTGTTTCTCTTTTGTTCTGAGTCCTAGCTTCCAGAACTTTCTCTTTTTACCCAAAGATTTTGACACATTTTTGAAAATATGTTTATCCACAGGGGACGCATGGATTGTTTCCTAGAAAAGACAGCAGAAGGAAATTTTGAGTCTTTATGAGCAGAGAGTAGAGGGAACCCATACACATTCATTTCTCAGAATTATGTTTTAACTCTGTTTCTGATAGTTTCCTGTATTGAATCATGAACATTTCAGCATTTCCCCCAACTGAGACTTGAATTGGGAGCTTCCAAGCGAGGTAAAAATGAAGCTGCCCAAAGCAAAGTTTGTAGGAAGAGCATCGGGCCAGCTTTGCTTTATGTTCCTGACTTCCCTCCCCTGGGGTACGCCAGTGAGAAATGTTCTCAGGTAGAGAGATTCGCAGCACACTTTTTGACAATAACCATTCACAAAAACCCTAAAACCGAAGCCTGATGCAAGCCACCCACCTTAGTCCTGCATGCCTCAATGGCTGATGCCATTTTAGGCATCTTCTTGGGTGGATAGTTAAGAAGTTAAAATGCTCATTAGATTCTCAGTTCTGATGGTAATGAAAGTGAATATTCCACTGCCCACAGTGAGTCTGGGATTGCACCTCCAGCATCGTTGTTAGCATTTTGGTCACATTGACACTGATAAATCATAGAAATTGCTGCCTGTGGCGGCAAGTGACACGACATCATTCATAAAGAAATGGGCATAAACAGGATTGTCGCACAGGGAGAAGCGATCTCATTTACAGTTTCCTGCTGGATCCCTTATACTTTCAGCAGCTCATCAAAATAACCATCAAAACCACTGAGAGCCCAGGCAAATTCACACGCAGGACACTGCAGATAGATTTCATCACGCACTGTGTCAGGAGGTGTGCAATTTGCTTCAGTCCAATGACTTAGTGAAGGTTTGAATTCCCTAAGGGCTGGTGAAGCTTGTGAACAAAATATCTTTTTGCAATTCAGAGAGAGCCCTCACAAATTTGTCACTTCCAATTGTTGGTGTTCATTTCTCTTGCTTTCTGTCCCCTGGCTTCTCTTGCCTCACCACCAATCACTGCTCCTCTACAAATCAAGATTCCTGGGCCAGAGGAAATGGTTGTTTCCTGGAACCAGAAAGAATTTTCCCAAAACAAAGATCTCATTTTCTGACAAGTGCATTTTATTTAAAGACAGATAGTGTGAGGAGAAGAGATTTTTTTTGGGATAAAAGTATGAATTGAAATCTCACTCATTCCATTATCTAAAAACTCATACAGATTTTTTAGGGCTCAATGGTCTGTCTATTATAAATGGAAAATCAAAAGAAAGAAACCAAGGTGGTAGTTAAATTTTGGCTATATATATAGGTGGGTATCTGCTATGATAGGAGCCAGTGATACAGGAATAAAGAAAGAATTCTGTCTCCAAGATGCATGATTGCTATAAAATGGAATTGTGGGTACAGTTTGCATTCTTGGAGATGGGTTTGATTTATTTATCTTTATTCTATTTCTCTATTGGGCACTTAGGCAATCCACTTACTTATTAAATAAGTTTCTGCCAAAGAGCTCACCAGCTAGCTGTGGGCTATTCCACTAATAGCCAAGTTCGGAACAATCTGAAATCTCCTAAAGATGCTTCTTAATTTCATTTTCACAGTGATTGTTTTTTTTTTTTTTAACCCCCCAGGAATTCTAGCTACAGATACACCTCATCCCAGGAATTCTACTCTGCATCATCTCACCCAACATCTACTAGAGCAATATCACAAGGAAGTGAGACCTGTTCACAACTGGCATGATGCCACCACCGTCTACCTGGACCTATTTGTCCAAGCTGTATTGGATGTGGTAAGGACCATCTTGCCATTTCTAATTTTTGTTTCCCTCTTGGAAAACTATCTGTGATTTATGCAGGAGCTTAGATGAGGCCCTATTCTTGAGAGTATGACTCAACTATTTGGGAAATTTGCTAGATTCATATTAGCTGTTAGCATGAGGTAAAATATTTATTTGGTAAATTGTGCTTTCTAGACCTCTATTTAGGCAAATAGGCTAGAAATACAAGTTTCATGGAATTAAGATAGTTTAGGAATTGTGGTCATAGGTCACAGTACAGATTTATTGCTGACACTAAAAATGGTAACAGGTATCTTCCTGCAGTTCACATTTTGTTTTATTTTTTATTTTTTGGTGGTGTTGGGGATCGAACTCAGGGTCTTATACATGAGAGGCAAACACTCTACCAACTGACCTATATCCCCAGCCCTATGCTCATGTTTGTTAGTAATAATAGTAGATTTAAGAAAAGATCCAAAAACAAACAAACAAAAACAAAAAACAAAAAAAAAAAAAAAAAAGAAAAGATTCACTACTTATTACCTAAAATTTGAAAGTTGGGAGGGGGGAAATGCCTTGGTATCATGAGTTTATAAGAGGGCTTTTATATGTAAAGTGTTTGCTAAGGATGGTAGGGAGGACTTGCTTATTAATGCATTCTTTTCTTCCTGTTTCTGAGAGATGGGTCATGGGAATGAAATGAGAACATGCATGTAAAGCAGTTAGCAGAGTTCTCAGTAAGAACTGGCCCTGACGATCCTCTCATTTCCTTTGTCTTCCCTAATTACAAAGTTTTCAATACCAAGAGAGTATTTCATCCTATGTGATTTATACTTAACTTTTAAAATGTATCAAAATGTTGTGCTATAAAATAAATTTATTTATTTATTTAGGTCCTGGGGATGGAACCTAGGAGTGCTCTACCACGCAGCTAAATCCCAGTCCTTTTTAGTTTTTATTTTGACAAAGGGTATCATTAAGTTGCTGAGACTGTCCTTGAACTTTCAATCCTTCTGCTTCAGCCTCCTAAGTGGTTGGGATCACAGGCATGCGCCATTGCACCTGGCTAGATTTCCTCTTAAAAAATAGACTTTACAAGCCCGGTGCCTTGGTGCACGCCTGTAATCCTAGCAGCTCCAGAGGCTGAGGCAGGAGGATTGCGAGTTCAAAGCCAGCCTCAGCAAAAGTGAGGTGCTAGGCAACTCAGTGAGACTCTTTCTCTAAATAAAAAAACATACAAAACAGGACTGGAGATGTGGCTCAGAAGCTGAGTACTTCTGAGTTTAACCCCTGGTATGAGTGCCCCCCACACCCTGCCCCATCTCCCTACAAAAAATCCTAGACGTTACAAAGCTTGGTTAAAGTGGTTTAATATTGTTTTTAAATTTACTTCAAAAACTTATATCTGTCCTTTCTTCCTTCATTTATGTGGTGCTGGGAATCAAACCAAGGGCCTTGTGCATGCTCAGCAGGCACTGTGCCACTGAGTACATCTCTAATCCACTTTTTAAAAGTTGAGAGGTATAACATGCTTGTATTGAAATGTACAGATCTTAGGTGTAGAGTCTGATCGATGGTTTGATAATTACATATTCATATAATCCATACTTCCATTAAGATAGCAAAGATTCCTATCATCTCAGAAAGACCTCTCATTCCTTTCCGAGTCCATCCCACACAAATATTGTTCTAATTTCTTTCATCAGTGATTAACTTTGTCAGTTCTAGAACGTCCGTCATAGGACCCATGTTTAGTTTTAAATTTTTTTCTTGGTAGACTCTTATTTAGGGGAAGGGAGGCTGAGGATTGAACCCAGAGCCCCGCTCATGCCAGGCAAACACTACCTGGTGACATATGTTTCCAGTCCAGCAATTTTGTTTTTGTTGTTGTTGTTGTTAAAGGAATTTGATCGTCTCATCCAGTTCGTCATATTTATCGACTTAAAGTTACTCATATTTTTCTCTTTTCATTACCTTTTAATGTCCATAGGATTTCTGGTGATATGGCTCTTCATGCTTCATATTAGTAACTTGTATTTTCTCTTATTTTCCCTTGACCAATCTTGCCTAAAGTTTATCAGGTTTAAAAAAATTTTTTTAATATAACCAAATGGGCTTTGCATTTCTCTCATTATTTTTTTCCAATTCACTGATATCTATCTATCTATCTATCTATCTATCTATTTATTTATTTATTGTGCTGGGGATTGAACCCAGGGCCTTGTGCATGGGAGGCAAACACTCTACCAACTGAGTTACATCCCCAGCTATCTTTATTTATTTTCTTCTACTCACTTTAGATTTAATCTGTCCCTTTTATGTAGTTTCTTAAAGCGAAATCTTGAATAAATAATTTTAGACATTTAAATTTTCTAATATAAGCATTTAAAGCTATAAATTTCACTCTAAACATTATTTTAGTTGCACCCTATAAACTTTGATACATTTTAAAAGTTAAGTATAAATCACATAGGATGAAATTCATCTTTCTAAAGCCGATTCCTTTTCTCTAATCCCTGTCCTGGCAACCACTGGTCTTATTTTTTTCCCCCTATAGTTTTGAGTTCCAGAATGTCACACAGATTGAATAATATAGTATTTTATCTTTTGAATGTGGCTCCTTTCACTTAGCATAATGCCTTTGAGTTTCAAACACATTTTTTCATATTTCAGTAGTTGTGCTATAATTGTTTATGTATTTCCCAATTTCTGGACATGTAAGTTATTTCCATTTGGGGGCAATTAATTAATAATTTCTTAATTTTATAAGAAGTTGTCAAACCAGAGATGGTGTTGCATGATGATAATCCTAGTACTCAGGAGGCTGAGGCAGGAGGATGGCAAATTCAAGACCAGCCTCAGCAACACAGTGAGACCCTATATCAAAACAAAAAGGGCTGGGGATGTAGCTCAGTAGTAGGGTACCTCTTGGTTCAATGTCTAGTAACCTGCACTCCCCTGAAACCAAAGAAAAGAAAAAGAAATTATCAAATTGTTTTCCAAAGTGGCTGTATAATTTGGCCTTTGGCTTATAACATATAGAGTTCCAGTTTCTCCACATCATAACCAGTGCTTAATATTGTCAATCTTTTTTATTTTAAACCATTCTGGTAGGTTTGTAATATCTTAATTTTTCCATTTTTTCTTCCTTCCTTCCTTCCTTCTTCTTTTTTTTTTTTTTTTCTGTTCTGGAGATTGAACCCAGGGCCTTGTGCATGCTGAGCAAGTGCTCTACCACTCAGCTACATTCTCAGAACTTTCTATTTTTTGAGAGAAGGTCTTGCTGAGTTGCCCAGGATGGCCTCAAACTTGTAATCCTCCTGCCTCAGCTTCCTCAGTAGCTGGGATTATAAGTGGGCACCACTGTGCTCAGCTGAAATAGTTTCCTATAAACAGATATAGTTGAGTTTTTTTTTTAGTTTTTATTTTGAAATAAATATAAATGTACCAAAAGTTGCAAAGAAATCTATAGGGGGCTGGGGATATAGCTCAGTTGGTAGAGTATTTGCCTCGCATGCACAAGGCCCTGGGTTCAATCCCCAGCACCACAGAAAAGAAAAAAAAAAAAAAAAAGAAATCTACAGGAAGGTCCTATGTATCCTTTACCTAAGCTCTCCCAATGTTAATATCTTCCATAAACATAATACAGTGTCAATACTAGAAAACGGACATTGGTACAATTCACAAGGATTGTTCAGATTTCTCCAGTTGATGTATACCTATGTACATTTCTATATTTAGTTCTAGGTACATTTATTTCATGAGTATATGTGTTGAGCATCTTTTCATTACTATTCACAATACCTGAGATAATTAACTTATAAAGAGAAAAGGTTTATTTTGGTTTACAGTTTTGGAGGTTCCAGACCATGATTATATGGCCCCATTTCTTTGGACCTGTGGCAAGGCAGCACATCATGTAGGAGCACATAATGGAGCAAAACCACTTGCTTCATGAGTGGGAAGCAGAGACTGAGGAGGGAGCCGGGGGGCCCCATAATCCCCCTTAAGGGCATGCTTCCAGTGACCTAAGGACCTTCCATTAGGCCCCACCTTTTAAAGGTTCCATCATTTCCCAATAGGGCTGCCCTGGGGACTGAGCCTTTAACACATGTACCTGTGGGGGCTCTTCAACCTCCAAAGTACAGCAGTCTAACTTGGTGTAACCACCACCATAATCAAGTTATACAACTCTACTCTTTGGTAGCTAGCTACATCACTTTCTCCCCACTAATCTCTAACCTATAGCAACAATTCATCTCAATCTTTTTGCTTTTTCAAGAATGTTGTGTAAATAGAAGCATATATTACCTTTGAGATTGACATCTTTCATTTAGCCTAGTTTTTTAGTTCTTTCATGTTGGTGTGCATAGCAGTAGTTCATTCCCTTTTATTGCTGAGTAGGATTCCTGGTTTTTGCTTCACTTAACTGGTCTGAAAAATCTATGCATTTTAATTGAAGTGTTTAGTCCATTTGCAACACCATCTTGCTGTTTGTTTTGTAATTATTCTATGTGTTTTTTGTACTTCTATTCCTTATATCCCACCTTATTTTGGGTAGATTTAAAATTATTAACAAATATTAAAAATAACAAAATATTTAAAAAATGTTTTTAACATTTTATTTTAGTTTACCTATTGGCTTTTTAAGCTTTCCTTTCTCATATTATTATTTTTTCCGTCTTTGTTGTTTTAAGAGTTTGCCTTTGGGAGTTTCATATTTATCATTATTTTATTCCAGTGTACTTAGATTTAACATTATGATACTTTTCATAAAATATATGAAACTTATAATAATAATCTATCAACCTGTTGCATTCTCATTGCTACTTTTATCTTCAATTTTATATTCAGATGCATAAAATACCTCACAATATCATGTTAGTATTTTAATGTACTTTGTTAAAATAATTTAATGATTCCTCTTTGTTTTAATGGGTTTTTTGTGTTAATATTTTAGTGCTATATGGTGAGTAATAGCATCTGGATTCTTCAGCTGACAATTAGGCCTT